TCCTCCTCCTCCTCCTCCTCCTCCTCCTCTTCCTCCTCCTCCTCTTTCTTCTTTTCTAACTGTGTTTAGATTCTAGACTTTCTTCCCTGTTATTGCTTCCTTGGCGTTGTTCTAATCTTCCTCTTGAGCCCTCTGATCTCAAAAAGTTTGTACTTTACACTTCCTGCATATCCTTTAAGCCACCCTTTCAGGATTTTGTTCGTCCCTCCTTTATTTTTTCCTGAACTATACTTACTTGGTTCTTATCTGATCAGAAAAAAAAAAAAAAGAATTGCAGGGCTTTTCACCAACGTGTTGCTTTCACAACTGAGAGGGTGTGTTCACATTTGCCTTTTAATTAACTTCGTTGACAAAGAAAGGTGTACCAGATTGATGACGTTGATCAGTTCTCGGGAGGCTGCAGGAGTTGGCCATTTGCTGCTAGTTCAGAGCAAGTACTGCGACTATTATACTTCTGGTTGTTCTGTTTTCATTTGCTTTTAATTTTTGCTTTTCTTGTTAAACATGACCAACACTGTCTCCTGACTAACAAAGTCTAACACTTAGTATATAGGAAAAAGGCTTATTTCCACTTGCATTTTTTTTAGTTAAAGGCTCTGCCTGAGCTATTTTGATTCCTTTGTTTGTTTGTTTGTTTGTTTGTTTTGGGTTTTTTTTCGAGACAGGGTTTCTCCGTGTAGTTTTGGTGCCTGTCCTGGATCTCCCTCTGTAGATTAGGCTGGTCTCAAACTCACAGAAATCCTCCTGGCTCTGCCTCCCTAGTGTGCTCCTCCACCACCGGCTTGTTTCCTTTTTGATAAGATGTTACTTTTCTTGGGTTATCCTTGCCTTAATCCTGGTTTGGGTTCTCAATCCAGGTATTAGTGATTTCCTATCCCCACCCCAGAAATTATGTGCAAAGTTTGTATGTGTGTGTTCTGGGCAAATGCATTTTTTTTTTGTTTGTTTGTTTTTATCAGATTCCTAAGAAACATGTATAATGCCCAGCAATACTAGAAAGCACCGGTCTGGTGTCTGTTCTGGGCAAATGCATTTTTTTTGCTTGTTTGTTTGTTTTTTTATCAGATTCTTAGGAAACATGTATAATGCCCAGCAGTACTAGAAAGCCCTGGTCTGGTGTCTTGTTGAAGCGAATGGAAACGGTTTACTGGTGGAGCTGTTGTTTTCCCAAATTGCAAATGGCTTTTGGGGGGCTAAGGAGAGGAGAGTTCAGGGATTGCAGCCTGGTACCGAAATCTCACCACTTCAAACTGCAGTGTTTCTAAATTCCTTCCTGGACCCACAGAAGGAACCAAGGTGGTTCCTGATTTGTGGTTTTGAGGTTTCTTTTTGGGGATAGCTGGGTATGCCCATTGCTTGGCTAATACAGAGAATTTATAAACTGATGTGTTTGTCATTATCTAATGCATCCTAAGTATCGTCAACCCACTGGGTATAACTCAGAATAAAGCATAGTGATGCTAGCTGTCCTTCGCTTCCCTTGTCCTGTTTTAACTGGAAATGTCTGCCCTGGGCTTGGGCTTCCCTAAGGAAGGGCAGATGTTTTATGTAGTCTGTATGGCTGTGGTAATTTCCACACCCCTTTCTCTTCATTCTATGTTATGTATGTTAATTATTATTTCTTTCTTGTAAATTATTTCTTAGGATCTTTCCAAGCTTAATGTAAGTCTTGGGGTGCATATTTACTTACTGATTTGATTGTTTGGAAGTTGAAGTTGTGAATTTTGAAGCTCACTTCATACAATGTACTTGCACAGCTCATCCTAATTTGTCTAAAGTAACCAATTTCTTCTGTTCAAACAATAACATGATTTTCCCTCAGTATGGTGTCCTCACTTGGTGGAGCAGTCAATGCTAAGCTAGTTGCTAGTAAGATAAGGGCAAGTTTAGAAGATATATTCCGTCTAGCACCACAGTGAGAGGCACATTTATCTGCTTACTGTGTACATGATGCCAAGTGCTTTCGGTGACTATCCTATCCTTCCAGCAATCTTATAAGGTTGCTCCCCCCTCACCATTTATAGATCAGCAGTTCTCAACCTGTGGATCATGACCCCTTTGGGGCCACCTAAGGCCATTGGAAAACACAGATATTTACATTATGATTCATAACAGCAAAATGACAGTTATGAAGCAGCAACGAAAATAATTTTTGTCCCCACAACATGAGGAACTGTTAAAAGGTTGCGGCATTAGGAAGGTTGAGAACCACAGTGACTGATGAAGAGTGAAACTAAATGACCAACAGACTAAGATAATTTGCTTAGAATAATTCTGGTGGAGCCAGGATTTGACCTTAGGTATGTAACTGTAGATAGAGTCTAGGATACTTCCATTATAAAAGTTTTGGAATGAATTGGAAATACCTTGACTATATATTAGACATCAAAACAAAGATCTTTTCCTCTATTACTCTTTAGTGGATGGACACCTTGTTGAATGTCATATTGAAACATATGATGAAAAGGAGAGTTTGAAGAAGGCCTATAGATTGGAATAGCTGATAGGGCTTTTTTGTGGAGATGGATACAAGTTTGCTGGATTGTATGTTTTATGACCTGTAAGAATGAATGGAAACGAACGTTGGCACAGTGAGTTTGGAACCATAAACTTCAGAATGATCATTTGGGATAGTGGAAGGAATCAATTCAGCAGAGTACTTAAGTTCATACAGCCGTGGTGGAAACTAGCACTGTTGGTAGACTTTGAACACTGAGTTACTCCAGGGGCTGTGGAGCATGGTGAGGTTGGGTGGATGATGACTGTCTGGAAGTCAGACTGTAGTGCTGCTACTTTGGGGATGTACAAAAAAGCCTATAAAACGGAAGTCTACCTGCTGAGCCTTCTCTCCAGCCTTATACTGTATAGTCTTGAAATGAAATTTCCAACTAAATGATAAGCAGATGGAATGAAAATGTCTTCTACTCCCAGTTTCCCACTCCCACCTCCAGGTCTCAGGTCCCCTCCCAGTTAATTCAATATATAGTTGGATCAAATGAAAATAACACAAGGAAGCTCTAAACCTCTTCATTCTAACACCATACCCTCTAACCTGTGGCTGTTTGGGTTATTTGAAATTAGATAAAATTCACTCAGTTGTACCAACCACACGTCAGTGCCCAGTGGTCACTTGTGCTGGTGCCTGCCTTTTACGACAGTACAGATTTAGAACATTTCTAACAGTATTTTCCAGCCTGGCTAAAATGTTGAACTACTGTAATTTGTTACATAATTAGTATACTACTGAACCAAGATAGGAAACTTTTCTGCCTCCCTGTGGTACTTAGCAGTTTTTGTTTTAGCTGACAAAACATAGCCGTGTTCTCTCTTGGCTTTTTAACTAAATCCAGATGGTCAAAGTCTATCTAATGATCTTCTTGCATACTGGGAGTACTGCTGTTAGCTCCTTTTCTAGGATAATGCTGTCAGCTTTCCCAAGGGCATGTGCATTTCCTGTTTGCCTTGAGCTGTAGGTCTGTACATCTTGTATCTGGTTGATGCCTTTCATTGAGACTTAAAGATGTCTCAGATCTGTTATATCCAAAACTGGATGCATTTCTCTTCTTTCCTCTCCTCCCAAAAACATCGCTTCTCTTCTCTTTTTTTCCGTTTTCACTGAGTAATGACATTGTCTGTACATATAAAATCTTGAAAATGTGGAACAATCCTTACATCTTCTCCTTGATGATATCAAATGTATGAACAGGTATTAATTTTTCT